ACACACAGACACACAGACACACACACACATGCACACACACGCGCGCGCGCGCACACACACACACACACAGACACACACACACAGACACACACACACACACACACACACACACACAGACACACACACGGACCTAGAAAGATGGCTCGGCAGTTAAGAACACTTGCTGCTCTTGCAAGGGGCCTGGGTTCAGTTCTCAAAGCCCACGCGGTGGCTCACAACTATCTGTGACTCTAGCTCCAGGGATCTAATGCCCTCTTCAGCCTCCACAGGCATCAGGTACACATGTGATACGCCTACATACATGCAGGCAAACCCTCACACATGAAAAAAAAAATCTTAAAAACATAAATTCGAGGACAGAGACAGAATTGTGCTTCCAGGTTTCTGTGTCCCACCCAAGAGTTAAATCGATATTTGTGATAAGACAGCTCGCAGCATGATGTCTGCAGCATTGTGGTCCACAGCGTCTGGCTGCGGCCAGCTTGAAGCTCTCTTTACATCCTTGGAGCACAACTGTGGGCGCAGGAAAAAAGAGAGTGAGATCCGCTCCTCCATCACATTCTCTCTTTCCATTAAAGGGGTAGAAGCTTAGGGCTAGGAAGCCATTTGCTCAAAGATAATACAGTGATCCCTGGGCTCAGCATAGTGCTGGGCTTAGTAAGTTTAACTTAGTAGTCTGGTTCACTTGAGTCTTATTCAAGGTCATCAGCCGTAGGTGAAACATGTGATTTTTACTTGATTTCTACCTGCTTTGCACGCCTTCGCTCCTATAGTCCTCGGGACACTCTTACGGGGTTAGTACCTGTTATCTCTGTTTCACTGAGAAATAGTTTTAGTGGTGTGCCCATGGACTCGTAGTTACTGGGTTCAAGCCTAGGTCTGTCTGCATGCAAAGGCCGTGTTCCTAGGCGTTACTCTGTTTTCCTAATTTATGAATACTTCATGCTTCTTTCGTAAAAAAAAAAAAAAATCAAAGCACATTGAAACTTTGTAAAATAGACCAGCTGCAAATTCTAAACAATGACATGCCTTTCATAAGATGAGCCTTAGATTATGGAAACGTCCAACCAACCAATAAACAAGTAAGCACTGGCCGCTAACGACCCTGGAATTATGTCACCTTCCCCAGAGTCCTCGTAAGCCGAAGCAGGTGAAGATGAGGTTCGGAGCCTGGTATCTGAAGACCAACTTGTGGAAGAAGCGAAGAGCGGATGAACCTTTGGTGGACCCCAAGGTCTCACACAAAGCTCAAGACGCCGACTTCGAAAAGCATCCTCGGGAGCAGGTAGGTACATGTGCTGAGATTTGATTGTCTGAGCCACAGATGATCACTGCCTGGTTAGAGGTTCCCCCAACGTCTCAGGGTGTGTGTGTGTGTCAGATTCAGCGACAGGAAAGGCAAGGTGAATTGTGGGGAGCACGTAATAAGCAAGACTTGAGTTCTGGCTTCATGGTAGGCACCGGGGCCTCTCAACTGGGGCAGCACTCCTAACATTTTGTGTTTGACACTGTGTAGCCCTGGCTATCCTAGAACCCCATACATAGACCAGGCTGGCCTCAAGCTCACAGAGATCCCCCTGCCTCCTAAGTGGTGGGACTAAAGGTGTGTGCCTCCGCCCTCAGCCCACTACTATTCTTTGGAACAATGTGTTCTGTGAATAAAGGTTTAAAGGGCAGGTGACCAGGAAGGACCACCAACCCCAGTGCTCAGAACTGGTGTCATGGCATGAAGTTTCAGGTAACTACGTTTAGAACTTGTTTCCTCTCGGCCAGAGAGAACGATCCAGGAACTCAAAACTGCACCTGGGAAGTTTCATTTCTAGAAGTCAGTTGCCACAGAATCGCTAAGAGAGGGGAGAAGAGTCAAACACTTTGAGGTGACAGGGCAGCAAAGCCACACCACCGACTGTGGCCCTGCTTCACTGTAGATGAGCTGCGTGCTTGTCTGTCTCTTGTGTACACGCATCTACCGGAGCAAAGGTCATCACTGTCGCTCTGGAAACAGGGAGGTGTTGACACATGCTTCACAGGACTCTGATGAGCACTTTTTTTTTTTTTTAGTTTTTTTGAGACAGGGTTTCTCTGTGTAGCTTTGGAGCCTGTCCTAGATCTCCCTCTGTAGCCCAGGCTGGCCTTGAACTCACAGAGATCCACCTGGCTCTGCCTCCCGAGTGCTGGGATTAAAGGCGTGCGCCACTACTGCCCAGCTTGATGAGCACATTTGTGGACCTCTTCTCATTTAAAACAGACCAGAGTATCTCTGAATACTAGGTGGGAAACACATGCAAAAGTAAAACCATGTACAGATGTGGGTGTTTCGTTAGTAATTGCCTGTCAAGCTGCTCTGCAGATCGGAAAGCTAGGACAGCTGGTGGGTAGACATTTTTCTGTTTCCCAATGCTGGGTATAAAAAACTGTCTTTTAGGAGTGAGGCTTGCCATAGATCTATAAGCACAACATGCTTGAATAAACTTCAAAATGATATAAATAACACTTAGTAGAATTTCTGAGCGCATGGTTTAGGAGTGCCCAAATGTGTGGGAATTTAATTCGTAACATAATATTTTATTCTGACAGCAAAAGCTATTTATAGTGTCTGTCAGCTAATGAAGAGGTAGCATCTCTTCTACTTGGGCAATATGGTTGATATAATTGTTATACTAAAAATTATTCATTAGGAGATCTAAACACAGGGAGGAGTCAAAATGATAGAAGTGTTCTACAACATTTTTTTATAATATAGGCATGGTCTTGCATTATGTAGTCCAAGCTGGCCTAGAACTTATGATCCTTCCCAGCACCAGGCCCCGCCTGTTGTTGATAAATCACCTTAATAATGCCGGAGGGAGGATTTAGCTGGTGCACAGAGTCCTGGCTGCTGCAGTGGTGAGTTAGCAGGGGACGAACGACACTGTGACAGTCTTGCCAGGAACTCAAGAGTTTTCACTATACGTGACTGACTGAGTTTGGATGGTGAAGTGACCTTAGAGAGTTGAACTGCAGGATGTGAATTTCTACTTCCACTTTTAGAATATAAAATAAATGTAAAGAAAAAAACATCAGAGGGGTGCTGGAAGATTCCGAGGGTTTGGGACTGAAGCAAGTCCGTTTTGATCGGTGTGCCCTTTGCAATTAAGATATGTACATTGTGGGGCCACTGAGACGCCTCATTTGATTCCCTCACCAGGTCAATGTAAAAAAAAAATTAAAAATTAAAATCTGTAAGTTGTGAATGGATTCTCTCAATTTAGTTTCTAGATACCCCAGGTCAAAACTTTTTAATTGCTAAAATCTGTTGCTTATCCTTTATACAAGTGTGAGGAAAAAAGAAATGGGCAAGAGGGTCAAATCAGAAGTCTCTGAAAGCCCTCCTTCCTTAACTGATGAACCTCAGCGTGAGAAGGAGGTGCCTGCAGTGAGGGGCCGCACAGCGGCTTCCCACCAACGTCTCTTCAATCTGCTCTTTTAGGCGGAGCTGCTCACAGGCCTGCATGGAACCACCACCTTTAAGGACTTCATTTTAAGCAGAGGTTACAGGATGCCCAGGGTGAGTGAAGAGTCCTATTGCAGTACTCTGCTGAGGGCTTTGAAGAAGACAGCTGTGGATGAGAAGTAACCTAACATAACCAGATGGTCCTCTCCCTGCATCCATAAGCCTCCAGAAGGAGTGGTCAAATAAAAATTCAATGTTATGAGTGGGGTGGTGGTGGTGGTGCACGCCTTTAATCCCAGCACTCAGGAGGTAGAGCCAGATGGATCTCTGAGTTTGAGGCCAGCCTGGTCTACAAAGAGAGTTCCAGGAAATCCTGTCTTGAAAAACAAAAACAAACAAATTCATCATCACTTTCCAGATGGAGCCCTTTGGGTCTGTCTTCCCGCTGCTTTGAAGTCCACCCTCCTTGGGACCAAAGGGAATGGAGTCCAGGTGCAGAGCATGTGCCCAGCACAGCCTGTTCCTAAGACATTCTGAGTTCTCTAGGAACTCTTTAAGCCTCCTGTACTTTCAGGTTGAAGGACAGAGTTGGCACTTAGAATTCTATCACTATAGTGTGAGCTCTGTTCTAACGGAAACACATGGTGGTTAAAGTTCTGTCCAGAGGCCTCCAGGCTTCTGTTCGGCCCTCTCCCTGTTCCGGAAGGTTTCACCTGTCGTGTGTAAAGGGCACTCCAGCCTTCTCCCACAGTGTGCAGGCTCACTCACACACCTCCAACTTGAAGATCACAGTGGGAGGTCAGCTGAGCACAAAGCTGTGCACCCAGACAGCTGGACATAGGCATATGGGACCAAAGTCACAGCTAACAGCAGGTTGTGTACAATCAGTCCATCAACACACCCCTCAGGTTCCTCAGAGGACAGAAGAGCCAAGGCACTCAGATATTGTTAGGACGACCCATTAGATTTCTTTTTCTTTCTTTCTTCTTTTTTCTTCCCCAACCCCCATGGTTATTGTTTTGAGATGGGATCTTATGTAGCTCAAGCTAGCCTCAAAATCATTATGTACCTGAAGCTAGCCCTGAACTTCAGATCCCTCTGATCTGCCCTCACACCTGACTTGGATTTCTATTTCCCAAGTAATAGAACTAACAGTGGCTTATATTTAATGTCATATAAATGAACATATTGAACATTTGCAGAGCCAGCCTGGCTTTAGGTAAGTTTATAGCATGAGACAGAGATTGAGGATTAAAACACTCCATCATAGCATTCAATGGAATGTCTCCTTTAGCTCTGAGCATCAGTGACAGACTCACTAGCTATATTTACTCTGTACTCTCTCTCTCTCTCTCTCTCTCTCTCTCTCTCTCTATATATATATATATATATATATATATATATATATATATATATATATATATATATATATACTGGGCTTGACATACATGCAGTAGCTACTTGATCTGCATATAAAGTCCACATAAGTTTATTTATTTATATGTAGGGTATGTAAAATATGTTTAATACTTTATTATGTTGTACATTTTATATACTTTTGTGTTATATATATATATGTCTTTATTTGTTTTTGGTGGGTTTGTTTGTTTATGACCTTGAACTTAAGATCCTCTTGTTTCCAATTCAGTGCTGGGATTATAGGCATGTACCACCATGCCTGTTATTGTGATATATATATATATATATATATATATATATATATATATATATATTATACATACACTGTTATTGTGTGATATATTAAACATATTTTTAAGTTGTGTGTGTGTGTGTGAGAGAGTGTGGCCCACTGAGGCCAGAGGAGGACATGAGGTGTCTATCACTCTTTGCTTTATTCTCTCAAGACAGCGTCTCTCACTCACCTTGAAGCTCACTATTTTGGCTAGGCTGGCTGGTGAGCTCCTGGGAGTCGCCTATTCCAATGTGCCCCTCCCCCATGATGGAGTTCCAGGCATGCCGGCCCATGTCTGGTCATGCTTGACTTTTTCATGGGTGTCAGCCACTCAAATCCATATTTTTGTGCAGCAGGCATTCTTACTTCCTGAGCCACACTCTCAGGCCTGGGCTGTATATGTCTTACTATTTACACCGCCAAAGCTTCTTTCTTCCGTTCAGGTCCGTCCCTGTTGCATTAGTTCATTCTCTTGATGCACACATAGATCAACCCGGGACAGACAGGAACATCCCCGACACACTGGCTGTACTCTCTGCAGCACGAACCCCAGAGAGATGGTGTCCCTGGGAAAAGCTGAGCCCTCTGAGGACACCAGTCACCCAGACTCTCACACTTTCTCTTTTTCTTATATCCTATAGCTATTATCTTACCGATAACATTTCATCTAAAAGAGGGGATCCATTATAGTAAATGAAGTCAGATGTGGCCAGCAGTTGTAATCCCAGCACTCAAGAGGCTGAAGCTGGGAGATTGCTGTGGGTTCAAGGCCAGCCTGGGCTGCAGAGTGAGCCCCTGTCTCAAGAAAATGAAAAAATAATTAAATGTAAATTATATACATAGGCATACATACACACAAAACATATCTATGTGTATGTATTTATATGCTGTCACTTAAATATATGTGAACAGTTATTCTTTCTAACCCATAATGTATGTGAATTCTGTGTATACATGCATTCACATATGTCATAGGGTATAACACGAATTGCTAACCAGTCTTATTAATAAAAAACCCAAAGTCAGATGTTGGGGTGAAAGCTGAGAGATCAGAGGAATAGAACAAGCCAGCCACAAGTTCTTACCGCTAGGAAATCCTCAGCCCAAGAGAGAGCTGTTCCTGTACACCCACACCTATATACCTTTCTGTGCCCTGCCATCTCACTTCCTCTCTCTGCCCAGCTACATCACTTCCTCTTTCCGCGCAGCTCTAGCACTTCCTGTCTGTCTGTACAGACCTCCAGACCTCTGTGATTAACTAGTGCTGGGATTAAAGGCATGTGTCACCACACCTAGCTCTATTCCCAGTGTGGCCTTGAACTCATAGAGATCCAGATGAATCTCTGCCTCCCGAATGTTAGGATTAAAGGCGTGTGCTACCACTGCCTGGCCTCTATGTTTAATATTAAAGTGGCTGGCTTTGTCCTTTGACCCCCTGGCAAGCTTTATTTGTTAGCGCACAAATAAAATATCACCACAATAGGGGAACATGTTCTTATGTACATATACCAGTGTCTATACATTGTCCACAGTGACCCAGATAGATCCCAGGCCTTTAACAGCATAAGCCTTTGCTGAGCTGGGGCAGGCTGGAGCACAGGATGAGGGTGAATTCAGAGCATTTCTGATGCTGAGCATCCCCTTCCTAAAGACCAACGTCACTCAAATTATCAACTTAAAAATTTTGTCTAGCGTAAGGAAATCTGTGAGAGTGAAGCTTTTAAGCTGGGGTATTATAGCAGGAGGGCTGTACAGCTTTTGTGTGGCTTTCTAATGAGGAGATTCCCTTTTTTTTTTCTGTAGTTCCTTGAGAAGATATATACTGAGGAGAAAGGTAAATCTGAACATATTAAGACTCCTAAAAACCTCACCGAGAGGAATCCTGGGAGAAGATGAGGCAGCTTTTTTGACTGCAGACTTAGGCATTGCCTCATTATTTTAATTATTAAGTAGGATATGGTAAGTGGCCACTATGGAAACTTCAACCTGGCAACATCTATAAATATAAAACCTAACACAGATATTTCTAAATGGCTTTCTAATACTTCCATCAATTTTCATATTATTTTTATTTATGTATAGTTGTGGATGTCTGCATGTAGATGTGTACACATGAGTGTAGGGGACCTCAGAGGCCAGAAGTGTTGAGTCCTCTGGAACTGGAGTTAGAGACGGTTGTGAGCTACCATGTGGGTGCTGGGAATTGAACCTTGGTCCTCTGGAAGAGCAGGGAGTACTCTCAACCCCTGCCTGATCCATCTCTCTAGTCCCCATTAATCAATGTTTGGTTTGCTTGTTTGTTTGTTTGTTTTTCAGGTTAGGCCTTCTTCAGGCAGAGTCTTGCTATGTAGCCCAGGCTGACCTCTAATTAGTCATCCCCACCTCCAATCCCTCAGTCTCTCAGGGGCTAGGGTTACAGTTGTCCACCAACATAGCATTCTGTGTATTACCAACTATGGGATCAATATTCATGTATTGTCTTCTCACAGTTTTGTGTTATGAAAATTATATAAGTATAATAATTTTTTGTAAAAATAAAATCATGACTAAAGGTAAAAATCACTCTTTTCATTTTTATGACTTTGAATGAATAACTCTTTCTTTACATATTTATTTTCTTGCATTTTGAGTTAAGCTAACTGGGATGTTTTCTCTCTCTTAGGCATATTAGTCTTGCTAATAAATGTGTATTTGCAGTGGAAGGTCATAGGTCAAAAATCTTGAAGGAAAATCAAGCTAATGTGTTTTATTACTTTTTAAAGATTCAAAAAATTGTGTATGTGTATGTAAACATACACATGAGTATCCACAGAGGTCAGGGGAGTGTGTCGGATCCTCTGGAGCTGGAGTTACAGGCAGCTGTGTGTTGTGTCATGTGGGCGATAGGAACCAAATTTAGGTACTCCACAAGAGCAGCAAGTGTTCTGAAACCTTGAACCATCTCTCCAGCCTCTGCATTTTATAACTTTTAAAAAATTATTGGGGCGGGGGGTGGCGCTTGGAGAGCTAGAACAGTGGTTCAGAGCATTGGCTATTCTTCCGGAGGACCAGAGTTCCATTCCCAGCACCTGCATGGCAGCTCACAACCATCTGTAACTCCAGTTTCAGTGAATCTGACACTCTCTTCTGGTGTCTGTGGGCACCAGGCATGTGCGTGGTACACAGACATGCATGCAGGCATAACAGCTGTACAAGTATAAAATAAAAATTGAATTGAAATAAAGAACTTTAGAAACTAAAACAACTATTATTTTTGTGTACATGCTTATGGTCATGCATGTGTGTGTGGAAGGTGCATAAGAGGTCAGAGGTATTCCTCATAAGCCGTCCATCTTGTTTTCTGAGGGAGGGTCTCTCTCTTGGACCTGAGCTCATCAACTCAGCTAGGCTGGCTGGCCAGTGAGCTCTGAGACCCACCTGTTCCTCCTCCAGCACTGGGGTCACAAGCCATGCCACCATGGATTTCTACAGAGGAATCAACTGTGGGTCCTCAGACCTACACAGCAAGCATGTCGAATCTGAAGAGTCTTACACAGAATCACATTTTCAATTTGGTTGCTGGTAACACACCTTTAGTCGAGAAAGAGACAAGAGAAAAGTTTTTGAAACATGTTTATACATGATATGCCAGGAAAGAAAATGCGTATCAGTGCAACGGTATTCATTTCTACAGCTGGTTAGGAGGTGTGCTTTTTATACAACTTTCCTCATCCCTTTCCCGTTCCCCATGCTTGCTCCTTTCGGCCAGCCATTTGGCTGATGGGATCACTTGCTCAGTAGAATGGCCCAAACTTTTATCCACAGAGGGTCTGAGCCTCCATGATCCTCACACTGGGGTTTTTAGTACTAGACACAGTCGAAATCCAAGGGACCCTCTGATTTCCACGACTCTCTTGTCAATCCTTTTTCTCTTTAGTGGCATCTCACTCTGACACCAGAGTGTCTTTCCAGTTCTTCACCAAGTATGAGGAGGCCACACTGACCAGGTGGTGCTGCCTGCTGCCAAGTCAATCCAAATATTGCTGTTTTCTGCTGGGGTGTGTGTGTGACTTTTCTCAAGCTTTCATATCCACAGCTCAGTCCGGGACGGAGGAACAGTTCTTCCAGTGGCCATTACGGAGGTATTCCTCCTGATGCCATCCCTTGCACTCACTCAGACCTGCATATCCAGAGCGTGGGACAAAGAGCAGGTGTTGGTTCAGGGTGGGCAGCCATTGCTCAGTGTCTGTGTGGCACTGGCTCCAGGCTTCTCTGAAGTCTGCTGATGCTCTCAAGTCCCTTACATGAAATGGCAAAGGGCCTGCATATGACCTGCCCTGTCCCACCCTGCACCTGAAATCATCACCACAACGCAAAGGAAGAAATCGTGGTTACACTGTGCTGTGTAGGGAGTAGTGGGAAGGACAAACAGTCCGTCGGTGTTCAGTAAGGACAAAAATTGCCTGACTCTTTCCAGTTATGTTTACCCAGGAGGGTGCAGAACACACAGGCAGGCACTTCGAAAACATTGTCTCTCAGGTGGTGTTTGGAGTCGGAACTACAGCTTCTATGTGCACCATCATGTCAGTATTGCTTCCTCATTTCCTGTAAAAATCATCCCTGCCTGGATCCCAGAACTCTGGAGCTGAGGCCAAAGAAATGCCAGGAATTTTAGGCTAATGTGGTCTGAGGGTTGGTTGAGACCTTGTTCTGTTCCAAATTGCCAAATGATGATGATGATGATGATTGGTGGTGGTGATGATGATGATGACGACAGTAGATCAAATTAGTTTCTTCCTGAGAGCCGGTGTTGAGTGGGAAACCCTGGTGGTGAATAAGCACTCAGTAAGTCTATAAATGTTCATGTGGGTGGATGTCTGTTAAGCAAGGTCAGCAAATCTAAACCCAGAAAAACTCTGAACAAAAGATAACTCATTGCTTCCTCCTGAAGACTACTTCAATCACAGCCATATGGTCCCTTCTGCTCTTCTTCCCCCTCTGTACAAGGGGCACATTTCCTAGACCCACTCATCAAATAGCCTCACATGTGTGGAAGCCCACGGGTGGCCCCGAAGGAAAGTGGGTCTGCTGAAAGCCAGTGGAGGAGGCATCCGGTCCTACCTTGGAGGGCAGGGTTTTGGCATCCGGTCGTCAGATTCTGGCATGTAGGTGATGGGCTGCAGGCAGAGCTGTCTGGGCCGCTCTGGAGAGGATCCACGTCTTCCCAGGGGTGCCTTGTTCCTGGCTTTGCTGCAGTCAGCTCTAGTCCATTTCAGGGTCCCATGGCTGGTTTCAACTGTCTTAGGGTTTCAGTTGCTGTGATAAAGCACCCTGATCAGAGCAGCTTCAGGAGAAAGGGCTTTGTTTCAGTTAGAAACTCTCAGGTTACACCTCCTCATGGAGGGAAGTCAGGGCAGGAACTCAAGCAGGGCAGGAACCTGGAGGCAGGAACCTGGAGGCAGGAACCTGGAGGCAGGAACCTGGAGGCAGGAACCTGGAGGCAGGCGCTGAAGCAGAGGCTGTGCAGGACTGTTGCTTACTCCCCACGGCTTGCTCAGCCTGCTTTCTTTTAGTGACCAGGACCACAGCCACGGGATGACACCTCCCACCCACATCAACCAGCAATCAAGAAAATGCACCACAGGCTGGCCCACAGGCCAAGATGGCGGGCACCTTTTCTCAACTGAGGTTCCCTCTTCCCAAGCAGATGGCTCTAGCCTGTGGCATGTTGACACAAAACTCGCCAGCACACAGCTGAGCAGTCAACAGAAGCAGCCGCCAAGTCGGCTGTGATGAGGGGAAATCCAAGTTGCTAAGGGTGTATATAGTCTGTTCGCGAGTCACTGGGCAAAATTGGGATGTCTGTAGATAAAAGTGGCTGAGATATAGAATATGTATATGCATATTCTATATCTGGTGCCTTCAAAGGCCAAGAGAGGGCTCCCTTGGAGCTGGACTTACAGGTGGTTATGAGCTACACAATGTGGGTACTGGGAACTGAACACATGTCTTCTCCAAGAGCAGTACATGCTCCTGCTGAGCCATTGGGTCAGCTTTTCACTGGCTATTGAATCCTTCCTGTAGACTGGAGCCTTTTGGTGGTGTCACAAAGAATGAGTCCCCCACCTTCTAGTCCGGTCTAAAAGAGTCCCCGCGTGCCTCTCTCCTTTCTCTCACACCCGTCACTAGCCTTCTCGGTCCTGCCAAGTCTCCAGCTACCGAACTAAACCACTGGCGATTCCTGACCCACAGGCCATTTCTCATTTCAGATGGAGTGGCCAACAGGGTCTGTCATGCCTGCTTGCTGCTGCCATCACCGAAGAGCACAGCTGGGGAAATTTCTAGAAATAGTTTATTCAGCTCATGAGTGGATTAAAGACGATCGCATAGTCCTCACACAAAGCACCCAAGTCCGGTCAGTTTGAACGCATTAATAATACGCTCCGAGCCACCAACAACGCATGGATGCTGCCTTAAGGAAAGAAAGCACTCTCCCTCGGTGCCATCTAATCACAGTCGAGCCCAGACTTGAATTCTCTAACTTATGCTTCCTGTCTTCCATCCTCTTGGTTGCCTGAGACTGACTCTTTCGTGTGACTCTGTCCCAGGGTCGGTCTGAGTCTGTGTGTGACTGTGTGTATCTGTCTGTAACAGAAGACTTTCTTCTGTATTTATTGAACAGCATGGAAACCATCTCCGTGGGGAAGGAATGAGGGACTATAGACATCTTTAACAGAGTTCTACAAGAGATTAAGTAACTGATTCCTATGGACCCCAACTGGCCCAGATAATAGTACTACAGACATTATTGTTCATCAAGCCATATATGAATGTTCTCTTCAAAATTTATGATGGATACTCAATTTTGTAAGATTGCTTTTGACTTCTATTTTTGCTGTTTTCAGCACATGATACACATGCAAACACACATGCATTACTCTGGGTGAGGGCATGGAAGAATATATGAGATTGATCTATGCATTAGCTTTGGTAGTAAAAGTTGATTCTGTGGGAAATCCAAGGCAAGTAAGGTTGACCTGTTACATTGTTCTGTTAAAGGCAGGTTAAACAAACAGGCTGAGTACACGGTAGGGTAGCAGCCTTAAGTATTTTTTTTTTTTTTTTTTTTGGTATTTCGAGACAGGGTTTCTCTGTGTAGCTTTGCACCTTTCCTGAAACTCACTCTGTAGACCAGGCTGGCTTCGAACTCACAGAGATCCACCTGCCTCTGCCTCCTTAGGGCTGAGATTAAAGACATGCACCACCGCCATCCGGCTAGTAGCCTTAAGTCTTAAGTGACCTCAAAGTATGTTATTAACTCAGGTTGTGCGGCCCAGCAAAAGTTCCAGTCTTTTAGAATGTAAGATATATATATATATATATATATATATATATATATATATATATAT